AAAGATGATATCAATTATTCCCTTGCAGGTGTGTTCACATCATGTGTTTTGAATATCTTTGGTGTGGTAATATTTCTCCGGACAGGATGGATGGTAGTAAGTATCAGTCATTATTCATTCATTCACTATTCAATACGACGATTTGACGTTCCCTTTTGTCTCAGTTGAAGAATTCCATGTTTCCACTTGTTAAAAAGGAAGGAATCTAAGAATATTCAGCCTTCGCTTCTTTGTTTCTTCTTTTCTATTTGTCATTTTTCTTCAAGCATGTTATTTTCCTCTCTTTTCATCTTCTCTTCTTAATTGATCCTTCTTGTKAATGAATGGTTCCTTTTACCTTGGACGTAATGTTTTCTTCACGTGTCCTTCATTCCCTTGAGAATTATTTTTCCCGTTAATTTAAAAGATGATAATGTAGATGCAATTCAAACGAAAAAGAAAAAAATCCTATTGACCTTTAATGGAATAAAATCACGCCCTACATCTAGTTTTCTTCTCAGTTTCCATAGAAACTCACTATTTTTCTTTGTTTCCCAGGGCAACGCAGGCGTGGGCCTATCTCTTCTCATAGTTGTAATTACTTTACTGGTAGCCCTAGTGCCAGTCCTCTCAGCGATAGGGGTATGTGAACGATGTCACGTGGGTAATGGGGGTGTGTATTTCCTGTTGTCACATGTTCTTGGTCAGCGGGCTGGTGGAGCTGTTGGCTTGATGTATGCGTTTGGACAGGTTTGTYACAATCATTTATAGGTATTATAWTAWAATAAWAATATTATTATGAATAATAATATTAATTATTAACAATATTAGTTGTTAATTATAAATATCATTAATAATAACCAACTTTATAGAGCAAAATGTAACACTCGTACTGATAAACTTGTGGATCGATTACAGTGCTTCTGAATAGCAATTTGCGCGGAATCTACTTCACGACGAAGTAGCTTTAATGGTCTGTAATACTACTTATCTATGTCCTTCCCATCTYGTATTTCAGGCTGTAAGTATTTCTCTGTTCTGTGCTGGTCTTGGTGAGTCATTAGCTCAGTCAGCTCACTGGGAYAGTACATGGGCAGTACGTGTTATAGGTCTGGTTACAGCTGCTGCTATGCTGTTAGTAGTTCTGGCTGGCGTCAAGTGGGTCGTCAARCTCCAGCTTCTTTTGTTTGCCATCATTTTGCTGTCTGTGTTGGACTTTGTGATTGGCACGTTTGCTCACACCGATGAAGGTATGTTAGAAGAGGGAGAGGGAGAGGGAGTTGCGCACAAATCCAAATCCAGAATAAATTCGTGACTGGACATTAAGTGCGCAAATAGGTTTGCGTATGAAATTAAACAAACGCAWTTTTGGAATTGTCGAGCCTCCTACGCCAGAAGTCCTTAGGATTGTCACGCAACGTTTCCGCTCCCATGTCTTTTGGAACTTGTATTTTCTTATTTCCTGGTAGTCGCAAATATCTGTGAGATGCAGAAGAAAAGGAMAGAAGGTCAAGGAAAGCTTGTCGMCCTTTGAATTTTCGGCTGCTAAAATACTTACATCTGTCTGTCGGACACCTCATCATTCAACTTACTGTCAGTACACGTCCCTCGCTAGGCACAGCTGAGTAT